ACGCCGCCTGCGGGGGCACCGGCAGCGGGCTCTGTTCACACGGGGGACAAACAATGACATAATGACATGAGAACTCGCAGGTCCGCGAGGATTCCCCGGATCGGCGCTGGACCGCCTCGCACGGCGCGCGGAGCGCGCCAGGGACGGCGCCGGAGGCGCCGCCAGGGGGCTCTAGCGCCGATGCAAGAAATCCGCGCGGACCTCCGAATCTGTATGTTTGAGCCAGTGTTTGTTTACCTTGCGCAGGGGCTGCTGTCGGACTTCGTGCCGATTCTTTCCGTACAGTCGGCCCGTATCAGAGGGATGCGCGGTTAGGATGCACAGGGCCTTGGACGCCCATTTCGAAGCTTTTCGAGCGGGGCGCGGCCAACGAACGTGGCCAAGGATGGACCGCGGTGGCAAGGATGCAAATGCACCCTTGAGAAGGTTGCCAATCCTTGCCATGCGGGTTGTCTGCACCCGTTCTTTGAACAGGGACCGAACGTTCCGGCATTCCTGTAGGCCTACCACGACATGTTCTTAGAACCCCAACATGTTCTAAGAACCAGCCGATGTGTTAAAACAAGGCAGTCCCAGCCAGACATGTTCTGAGAACATGTCGTGCACACCACAACAGGCTCTTAGAACATTATATTTGGTAGGCCCATGGGCGAGCCAGGACGCTTCGCCACTGCTTGAGTTCTCGACTTGGGCGCCCGAATTATCCGGGGTAATTCGGGCCTGGGGTAACTCGGGTTTGGATTCCCGACCCGAGTTAGCCCTGAACCGAATTATCCCTGATGATTGGGGGCTCTGGACGCCCGGGCTATCCGGGGTACCTCGGGCCCGGGGCAACTCGGGCTCGGAATTCCCGAGAAACGAATCCGAGTTAGCCCTGACCCGAAAATACCCCTAATGAGTCGGGTCTCTGATCGACCGTGCCGGAGGAGCAGTAAAGTTGATCTCGATGTTGATCGCAGTAAAGGCGGTGCTTTGGGGCTCGAATCTTTCTGTCCAGTCACGCCTCCCCGTCGCCACGCCATCGACATCAGTTTCGGGGGTCTGGGGGGCATCTTGGGCCACAGGGTTCGAATATGATGTCCACGTACTGCAGGTTCGTGTCGTGACGACCCCGGCGTTGGTTTCTGACACGGCGTGGATCGTTGAACCTTGAACGATTTGCGGCTCGTCGATCGCCCAATCGTTTCATGTCAGTCGATTCTGGGCCACTGGCGGCGCTCAACCTTGAACGCCTGCGGCGAGGTCGACGAGGGTCGACACGACGCAAACCTACCGTACCGGAGGAGCAGACGACGATGCCGCATCTTATTATGCCGCAGAAGCGCGGAGGCCGCCGGCGGCGAGGGGGCGGGGAGCGTCCCCCGCCCCCTCGCGGGGACGGCGCGGCGAGCTGCGGGCTCGAAGGGCCCCGCCCGATAGGGCGCGGCGAGGCGTGCGGCCCGGGGGCGTCCAGCGCGCCGGGCGAAAGGGGGGGACAGCATTATAATGCGGGATGGCGGGATAATGAGGGAACGATAAAAAAAAAGAAAAAAACTAAATCTGCGATGTTTGCACGTTTTTCTGCCTGGAGGACAACAACGAAAAACATAGTTTTCCAACGGGAACGATAAAAAAGTGTTCTGCTATTGTTGCATGCTTTTCTGCCTGGAGGAGAACAACGAAAAACATAGTTTTCCAACCCGCGGCCGGTTTTTTTTCTAATCGTCGTCCCGGGCGTCGCCGCGTGAACACGACCCCCGGTCATTTATTAATCGTCATCCTCCATTAGGTCGGGCCTGTCCCCATACGGGGGATTTTGGACGAAAGATAAAAAATATATCAAAAAGTACTCAAAAGATGCCCAACAATATATTCAAAACATGGTCCCCAGACTATTTTGTTTTACTATTCTTGCATATTCCCCCCCTGTAGAGAGGGACAGGCCCGACTTAAGGATAGCAAAGGGAGGGTTTGAGAATCATTGAGAATCAGCTCCTCACGTAGCTGATTTTCCCGGCGCCTCCCGGCGCCGGAGGCGCCCATGTATCGAGGAATGGGCCCGGCGGCGGGGGCCGAAACCAGCTGCACGCAGCAGACTTCATATAGCCCCCCCTTTCCCAGTCCCTCCCGTTCGTCCGGCCCGAGTCCAGTGCAGGGGAGGGGGCGTCCAGGAGGGGAGGGGGGCCCAGGACGAGGATCATGTCTTGAGCAGGGACCGGCCGTCCCGGCATTCCTATAGTCCGACCACGAAATGTTCTTAGAACCCCAAAACGTTCTAAGAACCAAAACAATGTTCTTAGAACATAAACCCGATGCATTAAAACAAGATGATCCCGGCCAGACATGTTCTAAGAACACCTCGTGGAAACCACAAAACAGGTTCTTAGAACATTGTTTGGCATGGCTATAGGCGAGCCAGGACGCCTCGCCACTGCTTGAATCTCGGGCGAGGGTCACTCGAGAATCCCTGAGGTCCGGCGGCTCCGGCCCGAGTCCAGTGCAGGGGAGGGGGCGTCCAAGGAGGGGGCGTCCAAGGAGGGGAGTCCAGTGCAGGGGAGGGGAGTCCAGTGCAGGGGAGGGGGCGTCCAAGGAGGGGAGGGGGGCCCAGGACGAGGATCAGCTCGGGCGAGGGCCACCCGAGAAGCCCTCTGAGGTCCGGCGGCTCTGCAGGGCTACTGCGGGCGCCCCGCGGCCTCCTCGGAGCGCTCCGGAGCGCTCCGAGAGCGTTCCGGAGCGCGCCCGGCAGGACGGACTTGAGCCTGTTTTTTTAGAATCTAGCAAGTTTACTTGCATGGGCGGGGGGGGTGGGCCTGAACCTGAAGTAAGCCGCAAACGACTTTACGTGCTGAAATCACGCAAGTCGAAAGGCACTTGCACGCTCGTATTCGATAGAAGAGGGGCGAGGGGTGGGGTGCGTTGGGGGGGGGCGGGGGGGCGAACGCCATGCAAGTAAACTTGCCCGAGTCCAAAGAAAAACAGGCTCCTTCTCCTCGTCCGAGCCCCGTCCGAGGAAGGGGAGGGGAGCAGGCAGGACCGGCGAGGAGAGCTCCTCGCGCCATCGCTCGGGCGTCCGTTCCCCTGTGTTTGTTGTTGCGGCTTCGCGCGCGTTTTTTGAATTTTTGTTTTCGCCAAGGGCTCCAGGATGCTTCTCGATGGCCCTCGCCGAAGGAGACAAAAAAAATGCACACGCCCGAGCGATGCCAAAGGGAGGGGACCCTGACTCTAGATCCGCCCTATTTTGGTTTTTTGACTTAAAATTGCGTCGGAAATCCACCTATAAGGAGCCGAAAAAGTAGGGCGGAAATCGCTGCACCCAACATACAATAGGGCGGACATCCACAGCAACAGCTACAGAAAAGCAGGGCAGAAGAAATTGGCATCAGCGGGGCTTGAAAAGGGAGGCGGAAACTCCAAGCCCCACTTACGAATTTCCCCAAAGTAAGGCGGATCCGGAGTCAGGGGAGGGCCGGTGCCGTGGCCGGGGCCACGGAACCTCTCTTCGGAGACCTCGTGCCCCCCTCCTCTCTTCTCTCGGTGCGCTCCTTGGCCCCCCCCCGTCGTCCGCGCACGCGCCTCTGGCCACGACCTGCACCCCCCCCCCCCGACCAAGACCTGCACACGCCCGAGCGATGCCCAAGGGAGGGGAGCGGGCAGGAGCGGCGAGGAGAGGTCGGGGGCCAGACGCGCTGCAGGGCGGGGAGGCGGCGTGCTGCCGGGGCGGCGCCGTCCGTGCCCGCGGCCGCCGCCGACGGGGGCGAGAGGAGCGAGGTCCGGGGGCGCGTCCAAGGCGGGGGGGGGGGGGTGGTGCAGGTCGTGGCCAGAGGCACGTGCGCGGCCGACGGGGGGGGGGCCAAGGATCAGGAGGGGAAGAAACACACAGACACAATGAATCGGCGATTCCCAGAAAATATGGGAAAATATGGGAAGTGGGGGGGGGGAAGACAGAAACCCAGAAAATATATGAAAATATGGGGGATTATTTTATTTGTGTGTATTTACTTGTGTGTCCTGGGGCCCCTTCAAAGGAGCGCACCGAGAGAGGGGAGGAGGGGGGCACGAGGTCTCCGCGAAGAGGTTCCGTGGCCCCGGCCATGGCACCGGCCCTCCCCTGACTCCGGATCCGCCCTACTTTTTGGGGGAATTCGTAAGTGGGGCTTGGAGTTTCCGCCTCACTTTTCAAGCCCCGCTGATGCCAATCTCCGCCCTACTTTTCTGTAGCTGCTGCTGTGGATTTCCGCCCTATTTTATGTTGGGTGCAGCGATTTCCGCCCTACTTTTTCGGCCTCTTCTAGGTGAATTTCCGACGCAACTTTAAGATGGAAAAAAAAACCATAGTAGGGCGGATCCGGAGCCAGGGTCCCCGGGAACAGCACCCTCCTGCGGCAACTCACGGGGGCCTTCCGTAATACCATCTTGCTGGCTCTTGCGGATCGGCGCGAGATGACGCTCAGTCGACGCTGAATCGACGCTGATCGACGCTGGTCGACGGTGGTCACGCTCATAGACGCCAAATCGGCTCTACCGCATCGATTCCCAAACGCAGAGAGAAGCTAGTGCGCTCTAAAGACGGCCTTGCGAAGATATACAAGGCTCCCATGAAGTGCTACAGTTGGAGGCCTGGACATGGGCACCAACACCCACACAGGGGATTGCCTCCTCAGCGGTACGGTGATCCTAGATTTTGGGGTTCGTGGCACTCGTCCAGCCACCTTGGAAGCCCGACTATTACCACCATCGCCGAGATCGGGAGAATCTTCCCTCGGAGGAGGAGGGGGCGGCGGAAGAGGAGCAGGAGGAGGAGGAGGAGGCACACCGCCGATCTTGGCGCTGGTGTCAGCCTCTGGGCCTCCGCTGCGGAGTCAGCACCCCCCCCTCCTTGGCCGCCGCCCAGGAGCGCTGCGCACCGCCGCGCTAGGCCGGAGAGGCGGGCGCGGCCGCGGCGCGCTCGCCCGCAGCACAGGCCGCAAGGTGCCGCGTCCGCCGCGCGCCTCGGCCGCTGGGCTCCCCCTTCGGTTGCGAAGTCATGAGAAAACCGAAGCCCCACGCGGCACCAAGAGCTTCGGAGTTCCGCCAGGAGCTTCTGTTTCGAGCAGGTACCAATCCGCAGTCGCTCCGTCGTGGAGCTCCGGGCCGGATCGCACGAGCCCTCGGGGCGTAGGTGGTCTGGGGGAGGCTCCTCTTCCAACCCCCTTTCCCCTTGGGGGAATGGTTTACCCATCCCCCTTACCCCCTCCCCTGGACTTGGACGGGGTGTTCTGCGAGGGGGTGGAGCGCCCAAGATGGCTCAAAGAGCGTATCAGACAGCCCAAGATGACCCGCAAGATGGCTCACTACAGCTCAAGATGCCTCAAGATGGCTACCAAGATGCTCCAAGAGGCCCCAAAAACAATCCAAGACGGCTCCCGGTGGCCACGGAGCCTCCCCAGGTGGCCGCCAAGAGGCCATCAATGCGTTTTGTTTTCTCGCCTTTTTGCTTCTGGTAGCCTTCCGAGGCCTCAGGATGGCTCCAAGATGGCCCAAGAGGGCTCCAAGAGGGGCCCCAGAGGCCTCCAAGACGGCCCCAAGAGCGCCCAAGAGCGCTCCAAGAGCGCCCCACATGCGCCCCAAGAGGCGAGTAGTTGGGCTCCCGAGGAGAGGCCCTAATTGAAGCTCCCCTCTCAAGAGCGCCCCAAGAGGGCCCCAAGAGGCGCCCAGACGGCTCCAAGAGGCGCCCAAAGGGCCTCCAACAGGCTCCCAAGAGACCCCCAAGAGGCATCAAGAGAATACCCGAGGCACCCAAGACGCTCAAAGAAGGCCCTGGGCCCGCCAAGATGCCCCCCCCCCCACGCCCCAAGAGGCCTCCGAACAGCTTCCAAGTGATATCCGAGAAGACTCCAAGCGGCATTCAAGAGGCTTCTGGCTCTTCTGTTCGCCCTTGTCCTCCTGCTCCTCCTTCTTCTTCTCCTTCTTCTCCTACTCCTCCTTCTGCTCCTCCTTCTCCGCTTCCTCCTCCTCCTTCCTCGCCTCTATCCCCTCTGCTCGCCCTCCTCCCGATGGTATTCCCTCTCCCTTGTCCTCCTGATCAACAATTTCATCATCCTTCTCCCTCATCCATCACCCCTCCTTCGCCTCCTCCTTCTCCTCCTCTTCCTCGTCCTCCTCCTCCTCCTCTTCCCCTTCCTCCTCCTCCTTCTCCTCCTCCTGCTCCTCCTCCCTCGAACGATAAAGAATGTCCCCCAGTTTGCTCCTCCGCTACCATGATCGTCTCAGCTGGATGGGCTGGTGAGGATACGCGAAGCGTCAAGAATCCCATCAGCCCTCTGGGCGTCGGTGGTTTAGGGAGTTTCCTCTTCCACCCATCCTTCTTCCCCTTCGGGGAGGGGTTTACCCCTCCCCTGGGGACCTGGACAAGGGGTTTCGAGAGTCGTCGGAGCGTCCAGAACGGCCTCTGCGAGGAAGCCAAAATCATTGATTCTACTACGGTTTTGGCTCCATTTTGGCCTCTTGGGGAGGGGAACCCCCTCCTGTGATCGATCTCACCCAAGATGCCCCAAAGATGGCCCCCAAGGCTCCCAAGGGTGCCCCAAGAGGGCCCCAAGAGGTGGCCAGGAAGCCCCAAGAGGCCCCCAGGAGGCCCCCAGGATGCCCCCAAGAGGCTCCCAAGAGGCCTCCAAGAGACCTCCAAGAGGCCCCACGAGGCCCCCCAGAGGCACCCAAGACGCTCCAAGAGGCCTCGGCGACAATGCCAAAATCATTGATTTTACTAAGGCTTTGGCCACATGTTGGCCTCCTGGGGGGGCACTGCTTCAGATGACTCCAAGAGCGCCTGGGAGAGCCAAAGATGATCTCCAAGATGGCTCAAGATATCCCAAGATGCCTCAAGATGGCGCCCACGATGTTCCAAGAGGCCCAAAGACCGCTCCAAGACGGCTCCAAGTGGCCAAAGAGCTCCCCCAGGAGGCCCCCAAGAGGCCAAAATCCTTCCACAACCGTGGGGAAATCCATGTTTTGGGCTTTCTCGCCGAGGCCTCAGGATGGCTCCAAGATGACCCAAGAGGGCTCCAAGAGCGCTCCCAAGGCTCCCAAGAGCGCTTCAAGAGGGCCCCAAGAGGCCCAGGAGGCCCAGGAGGCCCCAACAGGTGCTCAAGAGGCCTCCAAGAGGCTCCCAAGAGACCCCCAAGAGGCCCCAAGAAGCTCTCCGAGGCACCCAAGACGCTCTAAGAGGCGTCCGGGACCGCCAAGAGGCCCCCAAGACGCTCCAAGAAGCCTCCACTGGGGGACCCTTCCTCTGTGTGCTGCCCGCTTCCCTGATCGAGGCAAGTCCTCTGGGCATCGTTTCTGGATGGGCTGGTGGGGATTCGCGAAGCGTCAACAATTTCTCAGAAACCAGAAGCGCAGCTGATATGGATACAAGTCTGGCCCCTAAAGGCTAGAGTTTTATCTATATCCACTGCGCGTCGACCTTTTGGCACCCGTCCACGACGCAGTGGACATGGATGTAGATCGTGCCCGCAGATTTCTTGCATCAGCGCTGCCCCCCTCCCCCCCCTGGCGCGCGGAGCGCGCCTGAGCCGCCGCCAGGGTGCCAAGGGCCGATCCAGGAAATCCGCGCGACGTTACGAAAGTTTATGTGTATGTTCGGCGGCCAGCGAGAGGGGGAAGTGAGAAGGAGAAGGCCATTTCAGAAGGTTCGGAAGTTCCCGGGCCTCCTGAGAAGTCCTCTGAACCTCCCCCAAAAGGCACAAACAACAACCTCTCAGCAGGCGCGAGGACCGCAGAGAAGTCCCGCCGCCTACTGAGAAGGCCTTTTCTTCCTGTGTCCCCCCCTCGCTCGCCGCCGAGACGTGCTTCTTGGACCTTCGGAGAGAAGGGAGAACGGCGGGGGCTACGCTGTGTGCAAAAGTGCCCCCTCCGTGGCCTGCACGGCCGGCGACGCCGCACGCGGGAGCCGACGCGGATAAAAGGGGCGGGTAAGGAAGGGCGAGGAGGCGGGGCCGGACGCTGCAGGCGGGAAGCACCGTGCCGCAGGGCGACGAGGAGCCACACGTGCACACCGCCGCCGGCCAGGGCTCCTCCTGGGCCCGGGAGCAGCGTGTGTGTGCCACCCCCTGGGAGCGGCGGTGGACGTAGAGGTCTCGTCGCCCTGCGCTTCCATGCCCGGGCTTCTCCGCCTCGCGCCACACCCCTTCCCTGCCGAGAGCCGTGCCGCGACCACCGCGCCGGGCGTTGAAATCGTCGTCGGCCGCGGGCAAGAGGGTGAGCAGTGCGGGCCCGGGCGCACGACAGCAGTCGCACCGCCCACAGGGAGATGAAGCCTGTCCTACGCGTCGGGACAGGGGCGGGAGGCGGAGGTGGAGAAGCACGAGTACATAGAGCAGGAGCAGGAGGAGGAGGAGGAGGAGGAGGAGGAGCCACCAAGGGAACAAGAAGAGCAGCATCATCAGGCCTGACACGCGAAAGCGAATTCAAAAACGGTGTTGCGCACCGAATATGAATACCTCTAAAGCGAAATATAAGAGGCGGCACTGCCCCGCACAAACTATGCGGCAAACGCGACCCAACCGAACTTCCTGACCAGTCTGTCACGTCTTGCGGAACATGTGTGCCATGACAAAGCAAGGTGACAGCCTGTCGCTAGTATGGCATCATGAGGGGAGGGTGTGGGGAGGGAAAGGAGGGCAGGTTGGGTGGAGGAGCACCAGCAGGACGAGCAAGCGAGCAGGCTTGAACGCACTCGGGAACGAGTACACGCACAGTGTCGCACACCGGCGTGGATTACCTCCTGAGAAAAACAAAGCAGGCACGCGCCCGAAGGCGCACGTGCGCCACGTATGTATGTCTATACCCGCGGCCCAAAAGTCCGCTCACGCGGAGTCAACTCGAGGCACTGGCAAGTTGGAGAGAAACGAGACCATGACGAAAGTGCGACGAACACTTGGGGGAGGGACACCAATAACATCATAATCGGAGCACTGCCACATGCCTCGAAACCGGGGAAAAAAACACGCTGGCTCGATTGGGGCACTCCGTACCCTAGAGCGTGCTGAGCTTGAAATCCTGACAGGCGGACCCAGACCCCTATTATTTAAGGAGCATGAGTGTAACCTATTCTTGCATTATGCTTACGATGTGGGGAGATGGAGGGAGGGCTCCCTTACATAGGCCATGTGTTACTTCTGGAATGCACCGTCCAAACAAGCTCCCTGCTCACACGAACGACAGGTCTGATGGATCCGATCTGTTTCACATGGGTTGGGACCATGTTGCGCACGATCCTGGGCGCATCGGGGTAAATGCTCAGGCACCAAGCAGTGCAAGCACCTCTTTAGCTGAGGTTGTCACCTCATCGTTCTCGCTGAGGGCAAGCTGCTGAAGAGGCTTGACAGCACCAGCATCACGAGCCTTGCGTACATACGAGTCGATCGCATTCCCGTCCAGGTCCTCCAGCAGGTCCTGCAAATTCAGGATGGCCTCCAGCTGCATGTCCACGTCCTGGAGCGCCGGGTCGCACTCCTCGCTCGCGTCGAGCTGCTGGACCAGGCCGTCCAGCCCTCCGAGCCCCACGAACTCGGCACGGTACTCGTCCTTCTCCAGGCAGATGTTCCGCAGCGCCGTGGCGGCCGCGGCCCGCTTCCCGCGGGGAGGGGACCCGATCTGCTGCAGGAGCAGCCTCACTGCCCCCGCCTCGCAGGGGAGCCCAGAGACGCATCGATAGGGCGGATCGACGATCCAAATGAATAGGGGGCCACATGCGAATCCTACCCCTACCCCCCACGATTTCTGAGGGGAAGGTGGGGTTCATTCCGTTCGGGAGCTCTCGAGCGAAGTGAACCCCACCTTCCCCCTCAGAAGTGGTGGGGGGTAGGGGTAGGGTTCGCATGTGGCCCCCTAATGAATCGGATCGGCGGAAATCGGCAGCCGAGTCGGGAGCAGTCGAATCGGCAGACATCGGCAGGCCAGTAGGCCTCCATTGAACCATCGGAGCCCCAGGTCGGAGTCCCCAAGCCGAGTCGAAGCGGAATCGGAGGCCATCGAAGTCGCATCGGATCGAGTCGGAGGCATCGAAGCGAGCCCCCGCCTCGTAGGCAGCGGTGGTGCTGCTGGAGCACTCCGCGGTCAGGAAGCGCAGGGCCACCACGGCGGCGTGCACGCGGTCCGTCTCGCCCGAGCTCAGGAAGCCCACAAGGGGAGGGATCGCCCCGGCCTTGAAAATCTCCTCCTGGCGGCGACTCCGTCGTCGTCGTCGTCGTTGTCGTCGTCGTCCCCGGCCAGCGCGGCACCCGCGACACTTGAGCAGGGGCCGACCGTCCCGGCATTCCTATGGTCCTACCACGGAATGTTCCCAGAACCCCAGAATGTTGTAAGAACAGAACCCATGCTCTTAGACCATGACCCCGATGCGTTAAAACAGGGCAGCCCCAGCCAGAAACGAACATTTCGTGCAACCCACAAAAGGTTCTTAGAACATTGTGTTTGGTAGGACTACAGGCACGCCAGGACGCTTCGCCACTGTTTGATCGTCGTCGTCGTCGTCTGAGGGGCAACGATAGGGGGGACTGGCATAGGGGGGGCATCGACCTGGAATCGGCCATACATCGCTGATAGATCGGCGATAGGCCTCATCCGCACCTTCCTGGGCAGCTTGGGACTATCGGGCCCCTCTCGGCGATCAATGGGCGATCGGGGATTGATGCCTCCCCCCCGTCTGCCCATTCCCCCCCTCGCCATCGCTCGGACGTCCATTCCCTGTGTGTTTTTTCGGTTTCGTGCGTGGTTTTTTCGCCAAATGATCAAGGATGCTCCTCGATGGTCTTCGCCGAAAGAAAAAATGCACACGTCCGAGCGATGCCAAGCCCCCTGTCGTTGCCCCCGATCGTCCCTGGCCGGCGCGGCACCCGCGACACCGGCGGGCCGCCGCCCGTCGAGGACGCCGGCGCCGCGGCGGCCGTGGCCCGCGCGGGGACCAGGCGGTGACGTCACGGCTTCCTTCGCGGATGCCACGACAATCGGGGATGGACAGACCTCCCTTTTAGGGAGCCCAGAACGCGACCCTCGATCCGCGAGACTGGCCGCGTGATACGAATATTCGGGCAATGCGTAATCACGAAACCAGCGTGGATTCATGTACGTGTACGTCCTTCTTTCGCTCCTGACCTTTAGTACCTATACGACCACCCTTCGGGTGATAAGGAGGTTCGGGGGGGAGGAACCAACGTCTCACTCGATCGGTCTCACTTTCGATCTCACTATCGATCTCAGTATCGGTCTCGCTCGATCGATCTCCCTCGATCGATCTGACAATCGATCTCACAATCGATATCCCTCGATCTCATTCGATATATCTCACACTCGATCACACTCGATCATCACCATCATCATCATCATCATCATCATCATCATCATCATCATCATCATCATCATCATCATCAGCATCACCATCATCATCATCATCATCATCAGCATCATCATCATCATCATCAGTATCACCATCATCATCATCATATCATCAACAACACCATCATCATCACCATCACCATCACCATCACCATCATCATCATCATCATCATCATCATCATCATCATCATCATCATCATCATCATCATCATCATCATCATCATCATCATCATCATCATCATCATCGCGGGACACCGCGGGACACTGGCGGGACACCAGGGGCATCGCGGGACACCGCGGGACACCGCGGGACACCGGCGGGACACCGCGGGCCACCGGCCGCCCGGAAGGGAGACATTTGGTCCGGCCGCGCCTCAGCCACACGGGACACCAGCGGGACACCGGCGGGACACCGCGGGCCACCGGCCGCCCAGAAGGGAGACATTTGGTCCGGCCGCGCCTCAGCCACAGGAGACTTTCTTCTCGCCCGCCCACGCAGCTTCGCCTCGCCCGCACGCACGGCACGCACGCACGGACCGCACTGGGCGGATCAAAACGAGTGCGGGAGTGGCGCGGCAAGGACGAGGTACCCTGCTTGAGCCGAACCCCGCTAAGCGGAAAGCTTCGATCTACTTCTTGCTCTGCCCCTACTCAGATGGCACGGGCCCGAACGCGAGCAGGGCTCTCCAGAAACAATAATCAAGATACGGGGGCCTTCTCTACGTCCTTCACGGGCCTCGGTGCGGCGCCACATTGCACCGTGGATCGGCCCCGGAAGCGGCGCAACACTGTGCGTGGTGGAGGAGAACCTGAGAGAGGACCTCATTCGCTGTCTCAATCGGTCTCACTACCGATCTCACAATCGATATCACTATCGACGTCATCATCATCATCATCATCATCATCATCATCATCATCATCAACATCATCATCATCGCCATCATCAACATCATCTCATCATCATCATTACCATCATCATCATAATCATCATCAACATCATCATCAACATCATCATCGGGACACCGACGGGACACCGACGGGACACCGGCGGGACACCGGCGGGACACCGCGCGCCACCGGCCGCCCGGCGGAGAATCATTTGGTCCGGCCGCGCCTCAGCCACAGGAGACTTTCCCGCCCACGCAGCTTCGCCTCGCCCGCACGGCACGCACGAACACGAAACCGAAATCGATTTCCCGGTAGGGGGGCTCTCCGTTCCACTTCGATCTCACCCCCCAACCTCCGATAACGTAGTTTAGTGACAACGACCTCGGGCCCAAACCTGGCGGGCGCAGGCCTGGAAGATGACGGCCGCGGCGCCCTCGCGAGAACCGAAAACGGACAATTCACTAGTTGACGTGTCAGGATAGGAGGTCTGTCCACCCCCGAGACAATGGACACCCTGACAGTACTATCATTGAATCTAAAGTGTGTTTGCAATGTCGGAAAGTGTTCTAAACAGGTTTGAAACATGGTTTTTACATGTTTAAACCATGTTCAACCCTTGTTTTAGACATCTGGGAATTATTTGGCAACATGCCTCCTCTCCATTGATAGTCCTCTACAAAGCTTCCCGCGCTGGCCCGTGCGGGCCGCCAGCGCATCACACCGCGTGGAGAAGGGAGCTCCTGCGTGGGCAGCTCTCGCGCCGATGTTCGAGCAGGGGATCGAAGACGGACTCGACCTACCCCAAAATTGATGGCCCATCGACTCCACGAAACATAATTACGCAGAGTGCTCTGTAGATTCACTGAATGTTCGATGCATGTGTGTGTCATGGGCTCGACGAGAGAAGCCGCCGACTCTGCGGCGTGTGCGAGACGCTGTCGTCGTCTTCGTCGTCGTCGTCGTCGCCAGTCCCATGGAAATTTCAAGACGAACGGCCGAAAGCAGCGTCGCATTGAGTCGATCCCATCCCCTTTTCCCCTCCCCGACGGTCGGGGGGGGGGGGTCGGGGGGGGGGGTCGGGGGGGGCGGAGGGGTCGGGAGGGTCCCCAGTCAGACTGCCGCCTCCCGGGGTCCCGGCGGCCCTCCCTCTCCTCCCCAGCGCCCCCTGATGTCGACAGCAACGACAGGGGGGGGTCCCTGCAGCGGGGGGTCCTGTCCCGTTTTTTGGCGGGGGAGCATGGTCCCGGGTCCCCTGACTCGGGATCCGCCCTACTTTGGGGAAATTCGTAAGTAGGGCTTGGAATTTCCGCCTTACTTTTCAAGCCCCGCTGATGCCGATTTCCGCCCTACTTTTCTGCTGCTGTTTCTGCCCTACCTCTGTGGATTTCCGCCCTACTTTATGCTGGGTGCAGGAATTTCCGCCCTACTTTTTCGGCCTCATATAGGTGGATTTCCGACGCAGTCTTAAGTTGAAAAAAAGCCAAAGTAGGGCGGATCCGGAGCCAGGGTCAGTATACCGCCACCCGGGGTCCAGGCGAGTCCCCGGGGGGGGGGGGGGGGCGCCCGCGGGGGTCCTAGAGGGGAAGGTCCGCCCTCAAAGCCGGCGGCGCAGGCCGCATGCGGCCCTCACACTCAGGGGCTGGGGCACACCAGTTCTGTAACCCCAGGAAGCATTTAAGAACCCCCCCGGCGATATCGTAGCACCGCATTTTTTATTCGATATTCCGAAGGGCCGAAATAACCGAACGATAGCTGTAGCACCCGGACACGATGATGATGATGATGATGATGATGATGATGATGATGATGATGGTGATGATGGTGATGATGATGATGATGATGATGATGATGATGATGATGATGATGATGATGATGATGATGATGATGATGGTGCAGAAGGGTTATCGATTTGCCGGAGGGGGGGGGTTCTTGAATACTTCCTGGGGTTAGCTGATCGGTGCCCCGCTCGAACTGTCTGCGCAAGCGACCCGCTTCCCTGCGCCGCACACGTTCGAGCCGGGCGAAAGGGGGGGGATAGCGAAGGGGTGGGGTTGAGAATCAGCTCGCCACGTCGCCGATTTTCCCGGCGCCTCCCGGCGCCGGAGGGGGCCATGTATCGAAGAAGGGGCTCGGCGGCGGGGCCGAAACCAGCTGCATGCAGCAGATTTCGTAGCCCCCCTCTCCCCATCCCCCCCTCTCGTTCGGCCCGGTACAGGCAGCCCTCCCGGCCAGGGCCACCGCGAGCACCTAGGTGGCCGCTGCGGGTCACGCCCTCCTGGGCCAGGGCCAGAGCAGCATACGCCAGGGCCCGGGGAGGGCCCGGCCGGGGCCGCAGCTGCCCCCCCCCCCCCCCCCCAAAATGAAGGGGCCCCAGGACACACAAATAAATGCACACAAATAAACAGATTCCCCATGCTTTCCCATATCTTCTCGGTTTCTGTCTTCCCCCCCACTTCCCATATCTTCCCATATTTTCTTGGGAATCGAAAATTAATTGTGTCTGTGTGCTTTTTCCTCTCCTGACAAAACCCGGCATTCCCGAGCCGAGGGGCCGAGGGGCCGGCCTTGCCAGGTCCTGGGCAGCGCTTCCTCTGGCGAGCACAGGCTCCGGCACTTGCCGTCGCTCGGACGTCCATCTCCCGTGCATTTGTCGGTTTCGCGCGTCTCTTTTGCTCGGTGGTCCAGGATGGTCCTCGATGGTTCTCGCCGAGAAAACACGCACACGTCCGAGCGATGCCAAGGGCATGACGCGCGGATGTCGGGCCGTATTCCAGCTCAGATCCAGCCCAAATCCAGGATCTGGACGGGCATGGCCATCGGAAGGGGTTCTATTTTCAAACGGTGACCGAGAACAAGCTGGGGGGACAACTCTACAAATAGTTCTTCCCAACGCTGTAGAAAACAAAAGAAGGCGGGGTAAGCCAGACCGCCGGGAAC